TATTAACAAAGTAATAAATATATGGTTTTTAAAGACAAACAAGGCTTCCTCTCCTGGTGAGCCGGTCTTGCAAAATTGGTTACAATTTTTTATGCAAACCACAGACAAAATCATAACTAAACTACCGTATTTACTATTTTGTTCTTTGATCAGTGTTAGATTAAAAAAAAAAGAAAAAGAAGAAGCAGCATTCTATTATTCATCCCATTTACAATGACACTAGAAGTACGATTCTGGCAGGAAACATTGTGAAGTTAGTTACACAATTCTTTTTTTTTTTTTTGCAGTAATAAAAAATTAAAACGAACAAAAACTTGTAAACAAATATTAATGAATGGAGAAAAAGAGGAAAAATCAACAGGATGGTGGTGCCCCCCCCCCATTCACGGATGTGCAGGGCGGCGTATGGAGACGTAGTCCCATATAGAAGGACAGGGGCTGCGTACTAATCACACGCAGCACCTGCCCTTCCCGGGAGCTGCCCGATACGGCCGTGCACGCAGCACGGAGCTGTACGTGCCGGCCTCTTCTCGTGTGAATGAGAGAATTAAGACAATGCAGGCCACAGGATAATCATACTGCATACTTACCAAGGAGTCCACAAGATACTGACAGACGACAACTTGTGCCGAGTCAATCGCACTGGCGACAGGCCCACACCGGGCAAGCTTTGTGGTCAGCTACAAAGAAAGAAGCACAATTTGTGATTTAGGATAATGAGAATCTGACAATCAGGACCTCTGTCACATCCTAATATGCATGTCATGTATTCTCAATAGAAATCTCTGGCTTTGTGTTCCTATTGGTCACAGCAGATTCATTACTGGAGAGTTAGGCAGGAGGAAATGGGAACATTTTGTACATGACAGGTTCCCTTTAAGGGAGAACCATATTGATTCCGTCCTTCTCCCAAATGAAAGGCAGATGCTGATTATGTGATATTAGCAACTAGAGCAGCTCTCCCTTTAGACTCTTTTATGCAATTAAATATTGGTATCATTGCATTGAAAATATAACCCCAACTAGCTCGCCATTATCCCGTTTCTGCCCCCTCCCTTCCTCTTCACCTCAAATGAATCGTTATCCTGAGCCGACCCCTTCAAACTATACCTAGACCTTATAATCATTTTAATATCCCTTAAAATGGAACTTAAGTTTTAATATCCCCCCCTCCCCATTAGTGTTGAGTGATGCTGATGGTCTATTAAGAGAGTCAACATCTAGTGGTGGAAAGTAATAACTGCTGAGGACAGCTCTGGATTGCAGTGGCACCGACAACATCACCATTTTCCAAAATTGTCCAAAAGAATTTCATCCAAGATCTGTGCCAGAATGTTTGCAATAAAATCAAATATCCATTGTAAACAGATTAGGTTCATAGAGTGATGGCCGCTTGAAGACATTCTGCAGGTTACACTGATACAGTAATAAAGGACTTACTAAGGACTGATTCAGTATCAGGCTTATGGAAAGAAAAGCACTGCCATCTAGTGGGCATCTTAGTGTACTACATTATGTATAATAAAGTGCAATGTACATAGAGAACCAGTGCCATCTAGTGGGCATCTTAGTGTACTACATTATGTATAATAAAGTGCAATGTACATAGAGAACCAGTGCCATCTAGTGGGCATCTTAGTGTACTACATTATGTATAATAAAGTGCAATGTACATAGAGAACCAGTGCCATCTAGTGGGCATCTTAGTGTATTACATCAAGCCTGAGCCACTGCAATATGACTACTGTCATCCGTTGTCCTTTATTAAGGAAAAGGTTTCCTTGCTTGCCAGCTAGACCGAGACAGCTCTATGCAGTTAGGAATAAATGGCTCTATAATATTAGGCTGCATCTGTACTATAAACCAGCTGTTCTGGATGTGCAGTTAGGCAAAAAGTGTCATAAAGTAATGATTTTCAGTTGGCCACAATGAGGCATAATGTAATGCTTTGCATGGTTCAACCTACAATCCTAAGGAATAAAACATTTATTGTTTGGATATGTGAAAGTAAGGATGCACCAAAGTGAAAATTTGTGGCCAAAACTGAAACCGAAAATTAAAAATGTGTCCAGCCGACAAGGAAAATGCCCAGAGTAGCCTCTGCCACCCATCCTCCCCCAGGGCTCTCACCAGAACAGTATAGATGGGAAATCTTCCAATGGGGATGTTAGTTCACAAAAGAATAATTAAGAAATGAAAGAACACTGAAAATGAGAATATGTGATATCTATGGAAGGTCACTGTGCTGCCTATTGCTATGTTAGCTGCCATTCCCAGCAACAGCAGGAACCAAATGAAAACGGAGACTTCTATAGGATAAATATCTCTCATTGTGAGAGTGTCAGATACTTCCATACACTCCATGACATTTACTAATAAAGGCCAATATAAAGTGCTGACGACTCATCTCTATGCTGTAAGTTGGATTCTCTGGCTCGCTGACACTTACCATTGTCTTTGACCAGTTAATGTAGGACTCAAAATACTTCAGTATTGTATCCAGAAATGCTCTGGTCTCCTGGAACATGAGGAATACAAGGTCAGACCGAATGTTTTTAAAAGGTAAATAAGTATTTTTTTTTTTTAATATGTAGTTTAACCGTTTTATTTTTGTATTGATAAACAATACAGATGAATAAATGTCACCAGCACACAACCAGTATTGCAGTCCAAAGAGTTCGTTTATTGGAACATCATGTCACCAATGTCTTGGACTGCAATACTGGTTGTGTGCTGGTGACATTTATTCATCTTTATGCTGTGTGGCGGCGCCATCCGCAGGTCACTACAAGCACCCACCCCTCCTTGCAACAAGGTATCTTTTTGTTTGCCTATTAATAAACAATTCACGGAGCCATTCGCCCTTTGAATCTCTGTGAATATAGAGTAGGTTTTTTTTCAGGTCGAATGTAATGTCATACCGTATTTTGGCCACTAGATGGAGATGAGGAGCATAGGAAATAAATACGTCCTGTACTCCTCAGCTCCATCTAGTGGCCATAATAGAATGAAATACTTATCCCCTATGCTCCTCAGCTCCACCTAGTGGCCATAAAAGAAATAAATACTTATCCCCTATGCTCCTCAGCTCCATCTAGTGGCCATAATAGAAATAAATACTTATCCCCTATGCTCCTCAGCTCCATCTAGTGGCCATAATAAAAATAAATACTTCTCCCCTATGCTCCTCAGCGCCATCTAGTGGCCATAATAGAAATAAATACTTCTCCCCTATGCTCATCAGCTCCATCTAGTGGCCATAATAGAAATAAATACTTATCCCCTATGCTCCTCAGCTCCACCTAGTGGCCGTAATAGATATAAATACTACTTTCCAATGCTCCTCAGCTCCATCTAGGGGCCATAATAGAAATAAATACTTATCCCCCTATGCTCCTCAGCTCCATCTAGTGGCCATAATAGAAATAAATACTTATCCCCCTATGCTCCTCAGCTCCATCTAGTGGCCATAATAGAAATAAATAGTTTGCAGCACGAGGAGGACACTGATGGAGCAGATCACAGCTACCCTTCCTCATGCTCTCCCTGCCCTTAGTCATTCGACCTATGTTTTCACATGACCACGTGCAGGGAACACATGGAGGGGCATCTCTGCCATGCAAGATGTGCCCAGGTCCCCCTTGAGCGGTAGCCATTGCGATTGTTGTAGATCTTCTACCTCAGGGGTGGGCAAACACCGACCCTCCATCTGGAACAGCAAATCCCATGAGGCATTGCAAAATTCTCACAACCACAGGTATGACTCCCAGAGACAGGTGCATGGCGGGATTTGTAGTTTCACCACAGCCGGAGGGGCGGAGTTTGCCTACCGATGCTCTATCGATACAATTGTTTGGGTGGATGGACCCTCCAAATCGTACGCAGCTCTTTTGGTTTATAGAAGTGTCTATGTCCTGCACATGTCGGAAAATGGGGTCATCTTTCCCACCACCTAACAGCCAATCAGATTACAGCGGTCCTTCTTCTCTTACAGAACATTATCCTGCTCTTCAATTTATATCCATCCGCCTCACTAGAAAGACTTACATTCTTCACTATCGCAACCACCTGGTTGTCCACGAAGGACTGAGCCGTATCAATAGCTTTCTGGGTGTTATTCAATGTTGTCTGCATGTGAGAAACAAAATAAAGACAAAGCGTGAAAAAGGGCAAAGGGCATAGGTCGCTGCCTATATAGAATGAGCATTAAATATTTACAGGGTTATAAGGAGTATATTTTTATTATGAAATAATTATTATAATTATTATTTACTATAGTAATAAATATAAAAATAAGTCATATTTATTAGTAATAAATATAAAAATAATAATGTCATATTAGTAATAAATATAGTAATAAATATAATAAGTCATATTTATTTGTAATACATATATTAATAATAATAGTAGTAATAATACATATAACAATAAAAATAATGTCATCAATAATAAAATACAGTAATGATAATAATAATAATCAGCAGCATTATCATCATAATAATATCTCTCTCAGAGTTCGCAGTGCCCCCCTGACGATGCCTTCACCTGCTTTTCCCTCCAGAAGGATTGCAGCAGAACGGTACTTTTTATTACAAGCACTGCATCCAAAGACTTCGACAAACAGTCTGCTGCTCCTCCTTTCACTGTCCAGCGACAGGCTATTGGAGGATTACTGCAGCAGAGAAAAATCTGGTCTCCTGCTCTGCCAGACAGGGTTGTGCTGCGTGACGGAGCTGTGTAAATCTCAGGACTGAATGTATTTCATGTGTATTTAGCGGTGTTCAGCTCAAATCATTCTAGACACACACATGGGGGCTGCCATTGCTTCTACCCTTCTGAAGTAGTCTGACGAGCACACCGACCAGCTGCGCTCAGTAAGGTTTATGTCACTGACCGGGGGCAGGAATTCATCCGCACAGTCAGAGAACAGTCAGATCTCCTTATTTCCATGCTTGTCCTAGGTAAGGGACCATATAGGTATTGAAGCAGGAGGATGAGGGTCTGTATGGGCCGGCTTTGGGCTTGGGTCAATGGCATCAGTTTGAGATGCTTCTGATCTTATTGGTAGGTCCATCTGGCCTGCTTCTGACCTGCTTCAAGCAAGTTTTGCATTTCCATAGACTTGTATGGGAATTTAAACCCGCCTGACGCTAAAACCATTTCATCAACACAGGCCCTGAACATGGCAGCCAGGAAAGCAGCATTGGCAGAGACGGAAGCAGTGAAGGCATCCGCCGGGTTTCCTGGTACACACGATTGGTAAACTTACCGGCAACGTTAGCGATGTGGCTTGGAGATTGGCGATACTGGTATTCATACTTTTCTGGAAGGTAAAAACATATTATTGGTAAAGGACGCAACTGGAAACCTCCACAGAACGTAAATGATCACTTCTGTGCACTCTGGGAATATTATACTGACTATAATCTGAATATTGTGTGTGAATATTTCCCATAATTACCCTCCGTAGCCAGCAGATGGCGAGCGCTAAGCTACAGCACAGTACGATGATTTACAGCAGTGCTGTGATCAAGACCCGGATAGCAGGAGAGATCAGATTACACACACCTCAAGGGGGAAACGGGTCACTTTTCTCATTAAGGGCAAAGTGACAGGTTCTCTTGATAGGGCCCATCTCTACCCACTAATACCCACCTTCATTACACTGCTCGGCCACACACTGCTCATCTATCGGAGCCCTGTGCCTACTCCCTGTGTCACAGCTCATACAGGGTTAATGGCCATCACCACACCCCCATGGGACAGTATTCGGGTCCAGCAATTGGCTACTCGGGCCTGAGCACTGAATTCTGGGAGGAAGAGGAGAAGGACACATGGTCTAACAAACCCTAAAGCCATGGGGGATTTCCTGAGGACTCCAATAGATGAATGGAACAAAGGGGAGTATCAGTGGGTTGCAGGCCTTTATGAGAACCTGTCATTTATCCCTGAAACTGCAAAGTGATCCTCTTTCTGAATGACTTTTAGAATTACATCATCCCCTTCCTTATTCCTCATAAGGGCCATATGGGCGAGTCAGTCAAACACAGGCTGCCAGCGAGCAAGCAGACAGGGTTGGACTTTCTACAAATCCCACCATCCTTTGCAAGCTGAATTGCTTTGATTTCAGGTAGGGATGCACTGATACTGATACTATTATTGGTATCGGTGCTGATACCAAGTATTTGGCCGAGTACTCGCCCAAATGCTCCGATAACTAGCCCGATACTTCCAGTATTAGGAAGCCGGGCAGCGAGTCACTACATGCTGCCCACCTTCCTGATTGGCTGGGAAGCCGGCTCCATGCTCCCTCGTCACAAGTGACGAGGGAGCATGGAGCTGGCTTCCCAGCCAATCAGGAAGCCAGCCAGCATGTCATCACATGGCCCCCAGCTTTCTGATTGGCCGGAAAGCCGGCTTCATGTTCCCTCGTCACCTGATAACGAGGAAGCATGGAGCCAGCTTCCCGGCCAATCAAGAAGCCGGGTGCCGTATAATGACGCGTTGCCCGGCTTCCTAATTGGCCAGCTTACCGACCAATCAGGAAGCCAGGCAACACGTCATTACACGACTCCCGGCTTCCTGATTGGCCAGAAAGCTGGCTCTATGCTCCCTCGTCACCAGGTGACGAGGGAGCATGGAGACGGCTTCCCTGCTAATCGGGAAGCCGGGTGGCGAGTCATTACACGCCGCCTGGCTTCCTTAATGGGACATCCGGAATCGGTATTTGGTATCGGCGAGTACTGAAAAAAAAATCATCGGTACCCGTACTTGATACCGAAAAACCGATATCGGTGCATCCCTAATTTCAGGGTATCTGTTCCATCAGCGAATCACAACATCAGGATGGTCCATAAGGAACCTTTATAAATACATTAACACTTACGACTTGTGGGAGGAGATTGGCGTCTATGGAGGCTTGGATCGCCAGGATCGTGTTAGCTTCATTCTGCAGCTGAGCTTTATAAGTCGGGTTAGTAACGTTCGCCTGTCACACAAAAAGCCAATATTCAGTTACATAACATTATAATGCACATTGCTGCAAATCCTCCACACTGTGATGGCATTTTACTCTTCCTTTCTAAAGTGCAGAGCTCAGTGTGGAGCAGCAATGTTCTGGCCTAGGAGTAGTGTGCTGTCACATGAGCCTTTAATCACCATAACACATGGGGAGTGTTTTGTAGTCCAGCAGAAAACCACCAGGCAGGTTGGGATTTCACTGCAGCAGAGTTGTCAGCTCCATACAGGAATTTGGGAACTCTCTGAAATTCTGGCAGGATCAAAATCTGTACTTCGAGCATTTTTTAAGAGTCAAACTCTAGGGGAAATGTCCATTCACTGTTATCATCCCCAGACATCATTGGCTTTAGCTCTGCGGCTAATGGGTCTAACTACTGCACAGTGAGTGCCATTAGCAAGCTCGCCCGGGGTGGGGGCCCGCCATGTACCCCAATAACACTAATCAGGAGGTGTCAGCCATTTTTTCGGGCCCCAATAACCCTGTGTGAATTGTTTTTAAATAATATTACGCTACTTGTCCCTGACTTACAGCAAAGATTTGTAGATTGTTGGCATAAGCAGTTAGATTTGTCTTCGTAATGCTTTTGTTCATCTGAAAAAAAAAGTAAAGGAAAACAAAGATTGTGTTAACATTTTTGTTGATCCCGGAGTGAAACTGTAATAAAGACCGCTCACTGCTGCTCTCTCTGCTTGTGCAGGGTGACTGGTCTCGTCTCCGCCCCCTCCTGTAATAAAGGCCACTCACTGCTGCTCTCTCTCCATATGCAGGGTGGCTGGTCTGGTCTCCGGCCTCTCCTGTAGTACTGAAGGCAGCCTGTAATGGGTGGAGCTTGCTAGGTCTACAAATTGCACTATACAGTCCGCTCACTGGAGAAGAGATTGAGGACATGCTACCTCCTGTCTGCAGCAGACAGATAACATCATCGCACGCTTGGCAAAGGTAGTCTAAATGACTAAAGAATCTAGTTGCACAAGCCTCATAAAGCAACCAAAATATTTCCTTTACCATCCCTGACTAAGCCAAATTTTCTTTCATTGAAGTCCTACACACTCCCTCCCCCCGCCCCGCAGACACTACAGCTCACAATGGGAGGGTTTCAGTTACAGAGGCAGAGCTGTCAATCAAGAAAGCTGTGGGCAGCACTAGGTGTTGACAGGTGCTGATTGACAACCTAAAGAATGGTAGCCACACCCCCTGCAACATCCCCCACTGCAGTGCAAGCAGTCACAGCCTACATGGGAGTGACAATTCTGCTCTGAATTCAGGAGCGGTGCTGCATTGTTGCCACCGAGCAGTGCTGCATTGCTGCCATCCCATCACAGACAGCTGCATTAGGTGGTCTTCACTGGCAGGAACAACAGGTATCTATGGGACTTTGCAGGGGAACCAAGAGCAACTGTAATAATTAATTGCTGTGGCACATTTTTAAATGGGAGACCAAAGTTCTACTTTAATAACAGAAGGTGGAGCTTTTATTAAAAAGAAATATATAGCATGGCTGTATACATTGACATTAGGATCAGTTTGGGAAGCAATTACACGGATTTGTATAAATAATTGTGTTGTTGTGTAATAAAAGCAGAATGATGTAGTGCAATGGAGTAAAGAGTCTCCATTGCTCTATAACATCCAATTCACAATTAAGGCACCAAATTCCTTATCTGTCAAAAATGTCTCACAAACTGATGTTGGTTTGCTGAAGTCCAGGGTATCTATGCCAGAATTGGACACATTGGTCACCTGATTCTTCTGGTCGGGGGTCAGGAAGGAAATGTGGCTCACACTGATGTTCGTGTTTTCCATGGTCGTATTGACGTCACCGGTGTACTGTGGGTAGCAAAAAAAAAAAAATCCAAATTAAAAGCTCCTTCTATGTCCCGAAATTAACTTGTGTATGCCGAAATCCGAGGAACATGTCTGAAAGGACGGTATAAAAGTAGTGTGTGGCCATGAGGCAGCACTAACCTGACTGATATTGAGGTAGCTGTCCAGGTTGATGAGAGAGTTCAGGTTCAGAGCGGACCACAGGGCGGTGTTCTTCTGACAGTCCCTGCAACAAAGAAACCATAAGACGTGTTCCCACACACTGGAAGATCTGGTCCCAAGACCCAACCGGGGTTCCAGATTGAGGGGCTTCATATTTAAAGGAAAGTACAAATGCAATGCGCCAATAAGAGACGTTGTGGATTTCATAGACAAGCAAAGCGGGGGGTATAGTGGGCACATACAGCGGTACATGGCGGCCAGCTGTAGGAGTTGGGCCACTAACTGCAAATTAAGTCGTAAGCCAGACACACATTTTACAATCTCCTCACCATACATGTTACACATAATATATGAGGACCTACCTAAACTATCTAATCAGTTTCCAATCAGACAGGCGACTATACAGTCAGACTGCAACATGGGTAGTGAGCTTAAGGGAGATTGTAATATGTGTGGTCAGTTTAAGAACTGTTGGTAAATCTTAAAAAAGAGAACTATGGGGTCAGTGTTTTTCCCCATAGTTCTAAGGGTCACAGGAGGACATATACTAGCGTCCTCCCGTCACCCAAAGCTCAGTATATAGCGAGCTACAGCTCACTATATACTGAGACCGCCGCAGCCGGATGGATTACAACATTACTGTCGAGATCCACCCAGCTGCGTGAGTGACAGCTAGCTCTGCCTATCTAGAGGTCTATCCTAATTCGACACCACGCTATACCAGGAAGTAGCAGACGAGTGAGACGCTACACTATACCGGCCGGTTCCTTCGATTTTAAATTGTGAGTGACTGTATGTTTTTATATAAATAAACGTTTATGCATACCACACCATGAGGAGGTTTCTCCTTTTTTATCTAAATCCATAACGGACGGAATGTTACCAAGAGAAAACATTTGAGATGTGGACCCTCTAACTTGGGATTTTTTGCTTCATTACCTCAACTGTGGGGTGAGTACACACCCGAAAGGGGGCAGTTTGAAAACACTAACAACACCGTGGTGTGGGAAGAATTCACCAACTGATTCACCAACTGGAGATATTTGCTTGAAGTGTTCATTGGATCCAATTTTAAATTATATCATGGTTTTCTAATTTCTAATTTTTTTTTATTTTTATGATAAATGGATCACCATTTGGGACTTTTATAAAGTTTTATGCTGGTCATCAGCTGTTCACAGAAATTCTTTGACACTAATTTATCACCTTATTATTGAAAGACACAAGAGTGAAAATATTATATATTATATATATTTTTTGACACTGTATATAATTTTGATACTGGATATTTTACACTGTGGATACACCTTTTATTTATAAGTATTTAAATAGATAGACACTGAATATTATAGATTTTTCATATTATCTAATTTATATATATTTATATATTTAATTATATATATTTATATATTTACATTTTTATATTATGCACTTTAATTTTTAGCGCTGCACATTCCACACTTTATCTAGAGGCAGAGCCAGCTGTGCCCGCCCCTCCCCGTCCGTTCCCCCACTCAGCGCTGGAGGATCGGTGAGGGAAGGGTGGAATCCCTGCAGGGAGCTGTGAGTGACAGTTACGGCTCTTTGCAGGGAGATGATCGAGAATTCAGCGAGCGGCGGTATGCGTTCGCTCACTTCCCGATCTATTGAGCCGACGTGTGACAGTTTCATTGTCACGCGTCGGCTCAAACTATGAGGAAGAGTGATTTTCGTCATCATTCTCCTTTAAGGTAAATCTTGTACAATAAGATTGTAACATGTTGCAAAGTCCAAACCTACTCTGATCACGCCCATCATGGTGCCCAGGAAGGGACACCTTTGCTTTACTGGCACGGCGGGTCATCAGCAGTAGGATACCTAGGAGCCTTGGTTATAACAGAGAGGGGATACCGCTATGAGCTCTCCAATGGACACTGGTGTCCTACGAAGTGTTCTCTGCATAACACTGCAGAAAGAACACTCTGTGATAGAAGAGCTTGGTCACATGACTTTGGCAAGTTACGTGGCTGGTCTCTCCTTCTTCCAGCATGTATTTTTGACTTTTATTAAAACAAACCAACATTGAGGGCACATTTCTTAAGCAGATAACATGCTGGAAGTTTTATATTTCGGAGAAGCAGAGACATGGCGGTGGTACGGTCATACCGCTGCTTTAATAAGGAGCCCCTTAAGCTGGCCATACAAAGTTAGATTTTGAGAAGAATCACGCAGTTTCCCCCCATCCACACTACATAGCTTGGGTGGAGGAATGCCCCTGCCGTCTTTTATATTCGGACAATTAGCGCCCATGGCCGTCAGGATAGCTAAACCCAGGTAGAAAATTGGTGGCCGAACAGTGACTGATTGGGCCAACATTGACCCTAGTGATTGGGGTCAGTCGGTTGCAGTCATTCTTCAGATGACAATTTTCTTCCCGGCTCTTTTGACAAAAGTCAACTGGAAGACCACTCCCCTGCTTGTCTGTGTCCTTCCTTTTCTGGCGTTGCTCTCCTGCGGGTGACATACGTTCCCCAATCTTTTAGGCAATGAGGGAGCGACGCATACAAAGCAGGTAAGTGTTTTCCAAGCGCATTCTAGAGATTCCATCGCTGATCACAAGATCACAAGAGTTCCATCAGTCTAAGTGTCTAATAATAGGTGCTTACTTGTAGATATTGGCGATACTCAGGTTAACACCACCAATGTTCACCATTTTGCTGATATTCACATTCTCATCCACAACCTGCAGACAAAACAGATTCATTGTTATCAAGAAAGCTCTACAACTCCTACATAGAGACAATCACAGAGCAGCAAATCAGATTACTCAACCAGCAAAGAGAAGCTAATCAATTAATCTCCCCAGCGGGGGGCAAAGACAACAACAAAAACTCTATTCAAAGCTAAGGAAGATTTTTAGATGGACTGGAGCTTTTTCAATTGAAACTTGACCAAATAGAAATGACTCATTTGGCATTTCATAAGGTAACTGCTCTACACTTAGGGCAGGGGTGGCAAACTCAAATTCATTGGGGGCCGCATCAGCAGTATGGTTACCCTCAAAGGGCCGGTTGTATAGGACTATGCATCTACTCTTTATTATCATAAATAGTTGCCTCTGCATTCAATTGCTACTGGTGATAGCGGCCACACCCCCAGTAACCACACCCATTTATCACCCATATTTTTGCTAAAATATAAGAGTCGGGGTCACGTCGGGTAAATAGACACCAAACATGTCATGCTTTAAAATTGCTTGCGCCCGCAAAATTTGACAGGATGACAGCGGCTCCGATCTCCTACCTGCTCGGCCATCCTGACAGCTGCGGGCGCGGCTTCTCTCCTCCTCACCGCTCCGCCATCCTGACAGCAGGCAGCGCGGGCCACATTACAAGGTCCGGCGGGCCGGATTCGGCCCGCGGGCCTTGTGTTTGCCACCCCAGACTTAGGGGATGAAATTCCTATGCTCCTCGGCGCCATCTAGTGGCAGTACTGTGCCACGAACATCGTTCGCACAGATATACACAATATCATGTTATACATTCTCCCCTTTAATGAAGAACGCCACTTAGTTTGTTTTCCGACAGATTACCTCCTACCCTCTCTACTCTTCAGCACTCTTCCCGACTTCCTTCTCAGTCCAGTGCCGGAGGTCCCCTTTTGGGCAGACCAACATTCTTTCATTCCTGTGAGCCACAGGCTGTTGTGTACACGTCTCCCTCTAGAGCAGCGGTTCTCAACCTGTGGGTCGCAACCCCATCGGGGGTCGAATGACGATTTGCCCGGGGTCGCCCAGGAGTCTCCCGCTATTAGATAGCGGCTCCCGACCGCCCGGGAGAGAAATACTTTCTCCCGAAAAAGGTTTACTCTGCTCGATCGAGCAGAGTAAACCTTTCCCTGCGATCGTTTTTTTTTTCATTTCTGACATCAGCAGAGGGGGACCTGCAGTTCTCCATCAGGTCCTCTTCTAGTGATTGACAGCAGCAGAGGGCGGGTGCAACAGCTAGTTTGCTATTGCAAAGTGAAATAGCCAATAGGAATCTAGCTATGCATTCCTATGGTGTTTTTTTGTTTTTATTCTGACGGCGTATGTCAGTGGTTCTCACCCTGTGGGTCACGGTGTGATTTCTGCTGTGCTAGGTGAGAGTCCTCCTCAGCCCTCTCCTAGCGCAGCAGTGTCAGTTCTCCCGCCACGCCGCCAGATGCCGCTGCAGCAGCCGTTGGCAGCAACTTGGCAAATGTTACCAAGGGGTCCCGGCCCTAGAAAGGTTGAGAACCACTGCTCTAGAGGGCACGTCATTATGCAGGCTGGTCTCAAAGTACTCCAGGACTAAACCACACTCACACGTCATTGCATGAGCACCACTCAGTCCTAGAAGAATGGCCACTAAATTTAAGGAAAGGGAAACACCGCAAGTAAGCACTTGATGTATCTGTGCTTTGACCTTAACGTCACCGTCCCCATTGACTTCAATGCAACTGGCTAAAATGGCTAACTTGGCTGATCCCTTGTCATTAAGAGCTAAAGAAATGTTTTTGTCTATATCGGAGCCATGTGGATTGACTTCTCTCTTCTATTCTTTCATGATGTACATAAAACCTATTTCAGAGGCACCTGGTAAAGTTGTTGATTGGCCCACGGCTTGCAGAATGATGTGTAGACATTTCCTCCAACGGCAAACAGGATTGCGGTGATCAGCATCAGCAGCCAGGCAAAGATGAAGCTGAATGCGGCACCTCTGCAAGAACAACACCAGAGTGTTAGGAAACAGGTGAGTTAAAGGACCAGTCCAGCCAGACGTGAGAGTTATTGGTGGAGCTTGCCAGATAGATTCACAGGCCTGTTCCAGATTGGGGGTACTCCAGGATTGAGATCTCCCTGCCATAATTCCTGGCTCTGTTCCTGCCAATTTTGGAGTTCTGGTTGTACCCACCAACATTTGTGTCCCCTCCCTACTACTCTCCAAAATGTTAAATAAATTAAAATTCAGTAAGGATGGCGGGAGGCTCTTGTAATGAGCACAGCAGGTATACAGACTCCGAAACTCTTCATAGAGATGGTGGGAACCCCTCATAATGGGTACAGCAGGTGTGCAGACCTGGGAACTCAGCACAGGGATGGCAGGAACTGCTCATAATGGGTACAGTGGGTGTACATACCCAAAAACTCAGCACAGGCATGGTGGGAACTGCTCATAAGGGGCACAGCAGATGTGCAGAAGTGGGAACTCAGCACAGGGATGGTGGGAACCAGTTATAATAAGCACAGCAGGTGTGTAGACCTGGAAATTCAGCATAGGGACTGTGGGAGCCCCTCATAATGGGCACAGCAGATGTGCAGAAGTGGGAACTCAGCACAGGGATGGTGGGAACTGCTCATAATAGGTACAGCAGGTGTGCAGACCTATGAACTAATCTCCAGTGATGGTGGGATCCCATCATAATGGGAACAGCAGGTGTGCAGACCCAGAAACTCAACTCTAGGATGGTGGAATCCCCTTATATTGGGGCATAGCAGGTGTGTAGACTGAGAAACTAACTGCAGGGATGATGGAAGCTCCTCATAAAGGGCACAGCAGGTGTACAGACCTAGGAACTCAGCACAGGGATGGCAGGAGCTGCTCATAATGGGTACAGCAGGTGTACAGACCCAAACACTCAGCACAGGGATGGTGGGAGCCCCTCAAAATGGGCACAGCAGGTGTACAGACCCGGAAACTCAGTATATGGATGGTGGGAATCCCTCATAATGGGCACAGATCTCACCATTAGAGTCCCCATAAGATAAATGGGATTGTCAGGTGGTTTCATTCGCCAGTATTTAGGCAGACTAAGCCTTTCAAATATATCTCAAACATAACATTTAAACCGGGGTTGCACTTTAACATCTCTCCAGTGATCTTTGGTAAGAGGGTTCGGCAGCCACCCAAGTCATAGAGGGTAACACTGCAAGCCTCTGGCACTGAACACTTCTTTTATGTACTTACGCCATGAAGAAATCTCCTCCAGAGTTGGACGCACAGCTGCGATTTGTGGGGTCCACGCTGGATTTGTGACCACATGGGCCAAGCAAGAGGCCAAACAGGTTACACACAACTACCAGGAGAATGATGCAGGACAGACAGATGCAAACAATCCACCTGGAGGAGACACAGACAGGACAACATTCAGCACCTGATAACACATAATAGACGATCCTGTAGAACCCTCAACACAGATTTCTGTTCATACAATTTGAGGCTGAACTCCGGCAGATATAAAAGACCCAAATCAATGCAGATCTGTATTCATGAATACATTAACTATTTTTTAGATGCAAGCAACTGAATTTGGCTTGGTGTCAGCTTCTTGCACTTCCCTGTACAGCAGAGCTTAGACTTTGAGAGTGAGAAGCAGCCAAAGGAGCCAATCAGTGGTGCTGCAGTGCTCACAAGGAACAAGCTTGATCAGAGTGACAGATGAGCCAATCACTCTGCTGCATCTCCTTTGACTGTCCAATCACAGGCTGGGGGTGGGGAGGAGACCTGCAAGTGTTAACTAACTGCCGCAGAGAAAAATCAGGTCTCCTGGTGTGCCAGACAGGGATGTGCGGTGTGCAAGAGCTGTGTAAATCTTAAGACTGGATGAACATTAACCCATTGGAAGGCTAAACAGCTCCCATATGCCTATTACATTCTTTTCTGGGGACAGAGACACGGAATGTATTATTTTCTCCATGTAACAATAACCCAGAAACCTTCGGGGACAATAAGGTGACAGCTTGGTTTTGGATAACAAATCTCAGGTTACAAATCCTGGTATCTTTAGGAATCCATACCGCCAGGTGATGCATGCACGGGAAACAATGCACGTAAACATCAAATGCTATACTACAATCAAAGCTAAAATCCAGGCAGATATAATAGATACAAATATATGCAACTTTATTAATATTGTTTTAGAGGATTGATACAGCGTTTGCAGATTGCATAGCGCAATTCAGCTTTTTGACGTGACGTCAGCTCTTGCAGCCTACTGTACAGCAGAGTTCTGACTGGGAGAGGAATGGACAGGCCCGGGACCCAGTCAGGTGTGCATGCTGATCGTAGGAGAGAGCAGAGTGGCAGAGAGATGACCATATCAGCCTGTCACTGTCCAATCACAGGCTGGGGGGAGAGACAGGACCTGTACGTCTTACTGAACTGCAGCAGAGAAAAAACAGGTCTCCTGTCCTGCCAGGCAGGGTTGTACTGTGTGGCAGAGCTATGGTTGGCATTATTGGCAAGTACACAGTATGTCAGCCATATATGTGGGGCTATTTATTAAGGGTAAGGTCAATCGCTATGGCTAAGGCCTTAACAGGGTGAAACGCATCAGTGCCATAGACTAGGGGCTTAAAAGGGTGAAATGCATCAGCATCATGGACTTAGGCCTTATCGGGGTGAAACACATTAGCACCATGAACGCAGGTCTTAACAGGGTGAAACGTATCAATGCCATGGGGGCTTAAAAGGGTGAAACGCATTAGCACCATGAACTCAGGCCTTTACAGGGTGAAACATGTCAGTACCATAAACTCAGGCCCTTCCTTTCTGCCTCCGTGGCTGCTTGGAGGTTTTGCCCAGGTTTTGCCCAGATTTCGCTTTACAAGTGATAATATAACAGAACAAGTTTGTCACGCACCTGTAATAATTATACTTCACAACCTCCGGCTTGTACTTCTCAGTGTAGTTGCTTGCCGTGTCAAACACAGAGTTGATGTTATCTAAACTATCCACGACGGGGATGCTCTTCCTGGCATCTGCGATTTTCTGTTTGATGTTCACCAGCTGATTCTGCACACCTAAAAATTTTAAAAAGAAGAACAAAAACATACAGACGTGAACAGCAGGATCTCAGATTACACGCGGCTGAAGAACTCAGAGGGACACCCTTCCCCCACGTCCTTCTTGGATGGTACCACCTAAGACTTCAGTCTGCAGGATTAAGTGCAGAACTAGTGCTGGGCCTTTTTATTAGACAGCCCAGCATGCACTGCACACACTGAAGTCTAGACGCACTCTGAATTAAAGGGTTGTTTGGAAAAAATAAGAATTTTAAGTAGGGCTGTGGAAATTACTTGAGATCCTAATAGGTTGGACTTGATGGACTAATGTCTTTATTCAACCTCAAATACTATGTAACTATGTAACTATGTATGTGCGTTATAATTAATTGATTAAAAACAAATTCGATTAATCGAACACAAATTTTTTTATCATTACCAGCCCTAATTTTAAGCAAATAAGTTGAATTATAATACAAAATGTCAGTTTATCAGATCTGGGAAACACTGAAGTTGCAAATCAGTGCACATGTTGATGTTTAATGTAAAGTGCATTGTGAGGCACGTTATAATACATGGCAATGTGTGCCAATGCGTGTTTTCATGTATTTTGTTTCCACCGAATGGAAAACGCATCAGACATAAAGCACAAACTGCAGCAAGGCGTGAATGGGCCCTAAAATAGAAGCCAGCAAGAGCTGGCTTCTATTTTAGATTGGTTCACGCATGGTCCATGGCAGATCTTCACGCTGCAGTAATGCGCAGAACAACATACGACCCAATGCGCATGAATGCACTGCAATGCAGTGCTAAAGTGTGAATGTAACTGTAAATGCCAGGTCCGTACGACGTACTGAGCTGGCCAGCTGGAAGCACTTTTGTAGCTCCGTACGACGTACGTCCTTGGCAGCGAAAGGGTTAAAGGGAGGAGAGACCAGGCAGCCATGTTGTCTGACCTTGAATGAGTACATAAACAATATTAGAACCAATGGGAGAGCATTCCTAGAATGAAGTACAATGGAAGTCCTGTGGGAATAACTTACTTTTCACTGAGCTTCTCGTTTGATTGGTCACAGTCTCGGGAATATCATTTATGTTCTGTCGGGCCTGAAATATTAAGCAGAATCCGTACTTAGCACACACAACCATCCACGTTCCAATCAGGGTTTCCAGGCGACATTTTTTCATTTTTATAAGGGAAATTATCTAAAACATTTGAGACAACATAATGATATGGTGACATTGCCAACATATACTAGGCAGGGGGTACCTCACTGTAGGCCTGCTGTGTGCCATTAGGGAACCCCCCAGATGTTTGGGAGGATGCATGTCAAATATTCAAACCTTATGTGATTGACACCCAAAAGTGGAGAAAAATGCTGACTTGGTGGTTAGCATTATGACCCTGGCATACTGAGGTCCTGGGTCCAGTTCCCAATAGGGACCCTTTTTGCACAGTCGGAATGTACGCCCTGTGATTGAGGGAGATTCCACCTGCTGCTCTAGCTACCGTCCATTGGATTTTCCAAGAAGATAATTTTTAAGAAAGGTGCTTGTATCAGCAGCAGAACAGGCACCTTTCTTAGTCTATAGGTGTATGGCCAGCTTATCTGCAGAGTTTCTATGGTCAGATGGAAAAAGTGCAACAGATTCCTCCACCTACGCTAAACTGTGTAGATGGAGGAATCTCCCATTGGGACAAGCTTCAGTATCTTGCTAGTCGGCCCTGCTGGCTGTCAAAATGCTTGACCGATGCCTGCATCCAATCAGACTGTTAAGGTATTTTGACAGCCAGCGGGGCCGACTAGCATTTGTAGAAACAATAAAATACCATTTTGAACTCCAAGAACTCTAGTTTGGTGCCCTCTTCGGCTGAAATATAACATGCTGGATGACACTCCTGGTTCCATCCACCTTCCACCCACTATAAAGTGGGCAGATAGGGGCAGGAAAGATTAAGGACTACCTGAGAACCTAAAGCAGCATTAGGAAGAAAGACATCAATATAAAATATCAGACTTTTCAACATACATTTTGGATGGTGCCTTCAATGCCAGAATCTAGGAATGTATTAATGGTTTTCAGCTGACCGGAAAAGTCTGGAATCTGGAAAAAAAAACAAAAAAGGGGACATTGTAATTTTTAGTCGGTTTTTTATCATGGTAGAGTGACCAGAAACAGCTAAATTCTCAAGTTTTTGAGGAGTTATCTGGATCAACTTATTAAGAGGCACACGCATAAACAATTTCAGTCTCTGCACTGGACCTTGATGTCCACGTTCACCAAAATGCCACCATCAGACTGTAGGTTCAGTAAGGAGTTATTTTTTGGATGGATTTCCCCAATGGGAGTCCCCATTAATTGCTTCTGAGAAATAGGGAGCACTGTGATGATCAAGGTCCAGCGTGGGAAAGAGAAAGACATCATGCTGGGACTGAAATTACTCATATATGTTCCTTTGAAGAAGTGGATGTTGATCCAAGAAATGCATCAGGTACATGAGAATTAAAGTGACACTAAACTCAGGTGTTAAACCTTAAAAATCCATTCAAGTCCCTTAAATATTAACAAAAATGTGTCTTATGTGTTTATCAGTCGGCTGTAGATCCTCCAATCATCCCTGTGTTTTGTAAAATAGTCACCGCTCCAAGCTTGCTCCCCTGGTGGACTACAATCTCAGGTAGGGATGCACCGATACTAGTATCTGTTTCAGTGCCGATGCTGAGTATTTGGGCTCCAATGCCTGGCCCGATACTTCTGGTATCAGGAAGTCGGGCAGCGAGTCATTACATGCTGCCCAGCTTCCCGATTGGTTGGGAAGCTGGCCAATCCGGAACCCGGGCGCCATTTAATGACGCGGCGCCCGGCTTTCTGATTGGCCGGGAAGCCAGCTTCATGCTCCCTCGTCACCTCAAGATGACGCGTCATTACACGGCTCCGGCTTCCTGATTAGCCAGAAAGATGGCTCCATGCTTTCTCGTCACCTAGTGACGAAAGGCATGGGGACAGCTTCCCTGCTAATCGGGAAACCGGGTGGCGAGTCTTTACATGCTGCCCGCCTTCCGGGCTAACAGGAACCCAGCTGGCGAGCCATTACACGCCGCCTGGTTTCCTTAATGGGACTTCCGATATCTAAATTTGGTATCGGCGAGTACCGGAAAACAAATATCGGTACTCGTACTCGATACCGAAACACCAGTAATGGGTGCATCACTAATCTCAGAGTTAGTTTACTAATTTGTACTGAGATTGTAGTACATCCCCGGAGTGAGCGTGGAGCGGTGACAACTTTACAACACACACAGGGTCCATGGGGAACAAAAGTAGCCCCCCTCCAGAAGGAAGGACAGTGTCAGCGCCAATTCAGAGATGATTTGAGGATCTACAGCCGAGTGATACACAAATAAGATACATTTCTGTTAATAGTTAAGGGACTTGAATGGATTTTTAAGGTATAACACCTGAGTTTAGTGTCACTTTAACTGTTCTGGACACCATTCAAGAACTGTATTATCGGCATCAACGTATTATTGGCATCAACGTATTATTGGCATCAACGCATATGGTTATTTACATTTTCATCTCCATCACAGTATTGGCTTTATGTATTTATGCAGACTTGTAAAGTTTCTGAAAGTCCTCTTTAGGGAATCAGATAATGTAACAGTCACATGATGTAATAAAACAGATCATATGAAACATTAAAGACTAAAATGTAAAATGTTACCGAGGTAAAGTTGGCATCGATGACAAGGTCACTGGTGGACGGGGCACCGGTACAACTACTACCGCAATCAGCCAATGTTTTACTGATGGCTGCTTGCACGTCACTGAGGTTCTTCACTAGTTGGCTCTGCTCATCTATTAGGGAGTTGAAGGTGTTATTCACAGTCACCAAGGCCTTGGCTGTGTTATTCAGAACTATGGAGAAAACACATTGTAATGGTAATCATTGTCATGTTTGTAGTCAGAGAATTGCATCACATTAGTGAAACCTTATACAGATCCTTTTACCGCATTCAGATGCATGGTAGTGGGGTGGCTAGGACGGTGCGTTTTCACTTTAGATTCACCTTAGTGCTCAGCTTCTGATGCATTTATAAGGTACTCCGTCTCCATTAAAGTAAACCTGTACCGACAGAAACATGGAGGCTGACACTTTTGACCACTGAACTCCGGGGAACAAAAAATACAGTTTTAACAGTGACAATGTAATAATAAATTACCACTCAGAGTGGTGTCCCAGGTCTGGATGCTGCGTGCGTTAAAGTTTTCATAAACCCCGTACAATAATGTAAGCACCGAACCTGAAAGTTATATAGCAGCTGAGGATAGAGGGTCACATCTTGTCCATTCATATAAAGTTTTGTATGTCTTTAACAGAGTACAATGCATTCTGTGACTAGAGAAGGGGAGTCTGTGACATTCATCCATCCCTGCCCTCCCCCTGTTCCTTTATAAAATATGGTGAGGGCAATTTATCAAAACTGGAGCAGACAGATCTGGAGCAGTTGCCTAACCAATCAGCTTCTCTCTGTCATTTTCAAAGCTTACCGAAACAAACTGAAGAGAGAAGCTGATTGGTTGCCACAGACAACTGCTCCAGATTTTGTCTGCACCAGTTTTGATAACTTCTTAATGTTATATTCTTTTCACGGGATAAAATGCATTCTGTGATTGGACAAGGAAAGATTATGATGTTCATCCACCCTCCCTCCCCCTTCTCCAGTCATAAAATGTGGTGTATTCTTTTAATAGGATACAACGTGTTCTGTGATTGGACAAGGGGAGATTGTGAGGTTTGCCCACTCCTCCCCTGGTCCATTATTAAAACATGTTGTATTATTTTCACAGGATAAAATGGGTTCTGTGATTGGGCAAGGGGAGAATGTGATGTTCATCTCAATGTATTCGTGTCCCATTGCACTGCCAGACCGGAATCCCATGGTAACTAGACATGTGCAATTCGTTTCGTTCCGAATCGAAATTCGGACGAATTTTCGGAAATTCGGACATTCGGATGTATCCGAATTCCGAATTACAGACATAACGAATGCAAACTAATCCGAATTTCCATTTCCGAAATTCGGTAGCCTTCGTACGAACGTTCGTTTCGTTTTCTGTTCTTATTCGTTTCTTATTCGTTTCGTTCGTTGGAGCAAAGTGACATTAGAGAAGGAGAAAAATATTTTTTCCCCCTCAAATGTCACTTTTGCTGCAAACGAACGAAACGAATAAGAAACGAATAAGAACAGAAACCAAAACGAACGTTGGTACTAACGCTACCGAATCTCGTCCGAATCCGAATTCCGAATCCGAATTGACTTTCACACCCGAATCCTGAAAAACGAAATAACACAAATCCGAATTTAAAACGAAACGAAACTAAACGAATTTTTTGACAGTGCACATGTCTAATGGTAACATAATGGTGGGTGCTGAATGACATGCGGATGGTGCAGCACAAACCGAAATATAGAAGAAGTAGTCACTCGCACACCTAGGTCCAATGCATCAATCTGTCCTTTTATTGACATCAGATACACATGGCTAATTTATGTGTATCTGACATCAATGAAAGGATAGATTGACACATTGGACCTAGGTGTGCGAGTGACTACTTCCTCTACATGTGATGTTCATTTGCCCCTCCCTTTGTTCATTCATAAAATGTGTTGTATTCTTTTCATAGGCTACAACTTGTTCTGTGATTGGAAAAGGGCAGATTGTGATGGTCCCCTTTCCCTTCCTTTGCTCATTCATAAAACATGTTATATTCTTTTCACAGGATACAACGCATTCTGTGATTGGTCACCGGGAGATTGTGACATTCATCCGCCCCTGCCCTTGTGCATTCATAAAATGCATTGTATTCTTTTCACAGATTACAAATCATTCTGTCATTGGACGAGGTAAAGGGATGGAGGAACGTCACAATCTCCCCCAATCTCTCCCCCCTGTCCAATCACAGAACGGGTTGTATCCTGTGAAAAGAGCACAACACATTTTATGAATAGACAAGGTGAAGAGCGAGCAACCCACTATCATCATTGTGCTAGAGCCACAATTGTACCTTTCAGTGTTGTAAGTTTGACGCTTATTGTCCGAGGTTAATGAAAGTAAGATCTTTAACTAATGCAGAAGCACCCAGACACGGTCATTTATTTTTACATTGCAACTGTCAAAAATGTGTCTTTTTCACAGAGTTCACCTTCAAACAATGCTAAGTACCTGGCTGTATCTGAGTTCAGTATGTTAAGACATTGACCTGACACAATACATATAAAAAAAAGTCAGAGTGAAGTCATGGGCATTGTTAGTGGTCATGCTGGGATATGCCTGAGAAGCAGCACAGATGATAACAGTTTAGTTTTTATTGTTTGCTACAGTTTGTGTGCCACTGAGAGTCACAAAACACATTGAGGGGAATTTATCAAGACTGAAGCAGACAAATCTGGAGCAGCTGTGCCTGGCAACCAATCAGCTTCTCTCTTTCATTTTCAAACCTTAACTGAACAAACTAAAAAGAGAGAAGCTGATTGGTTGCCATAGGCCAATTTTGATAAATTCCTCCCATTAAATTCTATGGAAATCTATATCCCATAATACACAAGTGACAAGGCACAAGTGAACAGGGTGTGTAGGAAGCTCTGCGGTGATGGTGGTGCCCAGGTGTTTATTTATTCTTGGTCTAGCAATGATTACACCTCTAAAACACATGACTGAACACATTCTTATTTCCTGTTATTAAAAGCAGCTTTTTCTGATGTGAACCAGACTGAGTCAATGCCAGAGTCAGACAAAGGAGGCAGCAAAGAATTAGCCATTTGCCTATACATACTTCCTGCAACACACTGCTTATAGGGACTGTGAGCCCAGCATAGTACGTTTGGGTGCAGACCTTCTGACTCCAAAATAATGCAAGTGTTCATGTAAGCACTTATTTACCCCTAGTACTGTATCACCCAATCCTAAAACGTAAAGCCCAATTGAACCCTTGGTTTAAATCTGCTAACTACATCCCAGGTACATCAAAACAGAAGGTGTGCTAAGTCTTAGGGAGCATTCAGATGGGTGACCACCGGCGAGAGCCTGCCCTTCTTGCCAGTGGAGAAACTAGCACCATGATTTAGGAGGGTGGGGGCAATACTGATTCCTTATGTGACCATAGTTGGGTTTTAAATAAAAAACATTAACCGAAGACTGATAATAGACCATTGGCCTAACCTTAACACTTTTCCAAGATGGTAGGACCTTATAATACTGCTCCCGTGCAGCCTATTCTACATGGGCCATATCGGAAAAGTTGTCTACCTGCAGGCTTCCAAGTAGATGGCTTTTCCATCAAGGTTTATAGACAATAGCCTGCACATACACAGTAACACGAGGCCCTGTTGGCTCATAATAGGACAGGAGCACCTGAGCAGCAGAAGTGTCCCACCACTTCACTCTCCATCACATGTAAGTGCTTAACATCCCCTCCACTACCTCACATTCACATACCCTCATTCACCTATTGTCCCTGGTTATTCCCCATCCACATACTTGGCACCAAGCAGTCGGGCTCCGGCTCTCTCCTTCTTTAAAGGGCCCTCCTTACCATCTTGTCTTGAATTGTATTGTGAGTGTAAGGTCTTCCTTATATTGTAAAACGCTGCGCAAACTGTTGGCGCTATATAAATCCTGTATAATAATAATAAAGCTGCTGTTTAATACTGCCGGCTCATCCAGCTATTCCAACTTTTACCATTCACCTATCAGATATTGCAATATTGCAGCTACAACTTCTGTCTATTTCATCTGCATCATTCTCAACATCCATAGAGATAACCTAGAGTCTGAATTCTAATGTATAAGACACCAAAGCTCTTACCATCTACCATGCCCTGAACAGAGGTCAGTGTTTTATTGGCTGTTCCCTCTATGCTGCTTTTTATCATTCCACCGAGAACTGGACCAATATCTGCAGAAAGAACATTGAGAAACCTTCAAATTAAACAATTAGTGAAAGAAAAAAAAAAAAGAAAGAAAGCAGACTTTCTATTATCAAACATCGTGCATCGCTTCGGGCAGGAAATGGGCATTTTTGTGCCAATGGAGAGATGGATTGCCAGGGAAGAAAATTAATTGTTTAATAACTGCCTTAGAATACTAAACTGTAAACAGTAAAAGGAAAGCACTATTCTGACATATTAAATTGAAGTTTTTTTAATTGTTTATTTGGGTCAGAATGAAAAAGTTTATATATATATAATGGATGGGATGGAAGTTTTTTCTCAAACGAACAAAATTCTAACAGTGAATGTGGTTTTCGTTCAGGAAATTCCATTAGTCCCAAATCAAATGTTAAAGTTATATCAAAATTTGAACGACATTCGCCAAGTCTCTGATGACATTATTTAATGTTCTGATGGGATTTTTCACATGAACGTTTATACAAAAATCTACTGGTGTTTGGACAACTTTAGTCTTCTTCTGCTGTTGGCACCTTGCCATGAAGTGAGGGGGAATCACCTTCATGGCGACACAGATGGGATTAAAACATTGTCAGAGATTCTAAACATTATTCACTCTATCCAAAGAAAAAAAGTTGGGCTTGTGAAATATGAAAATTTGTGTTTCTATTGGAGGGCTTTCGTCTCGCTTCCTGTTGTGTCCTACACCAGTAAAATAGACAGGAAGTAGAGGAAATTTCACTCGCATCCTGTTTTTTCTGGAGGAGAAACCTTCTAATCACCCAAAAAAAAAAAAGACAGAATTTTGAACCTTTCCTCTCTCTATGATACACACTGTAAAATCCTTTTTTGTCCATTGAGGGACAACAGAAAGACATTAACCTACAACTTATACGGCTGCCTATAGGAGGACTGGACACTGGGAAACGAAAAAACTACAGTCCAGCCCATAATAACCCCTCCAACTACCAGAAACGCTCAGTGCTGGGACCTGTCCCCCTCAACAGACTCCAAGAAAAGGGTTTTATGGTGCATACAAAATAACTATTTTCCTTCTCGTTCACTGAGAGGTAAAGGAAATGATTCACTTTGGGGACTTCCTAAAGTAGCCCAACTGAGGGGTGGGCAACTCACCAAATGCTAACAGGAATAAGAAAACAACAAGAGAGAACTGGGGACCGCCTGAAGCTGAAAGAGCCCCCTGAAGGACCTTATGTCCGAAGCTGACATTAGATGAGGCCACAATGTCCACCTGGTGGAACTCAGAGAACATGTGAACAGAAGACCAAGTGGCAGCCTTACAAATCTGGGACACAGTTGCACGATGACAAAAAACCCAAGAAGCAGATCTAGTAGAGCGCACTATGACAGGGAAGGGTGGACCATGATCCTTGAGACCATAATTTGAATAATAGTAATAATAAGAGATGGAACAACTAGAAGAAAAAAATTGTTACATTAAAAATGGTGCTAAGAAATATAGGTTAGTCTTGTACACAACAGAGTTGAAAAAAAAAAAAGACGTCCATGTTCTGGGGATACTAGCAAAAAAGCTGAGGCATGCTGGTAGTAGGACAGGTTCTCCTGGGCCGGCCTACAGCCTTTTTGTTTGCCAGTATCCAATCCTCCTGTAGGCGGCAGTATAACCTAAAGGTGAATGACTTGCTGTGTCCCTCAATAGACGGGAAAGAGATAAAGTTCAGCCAAGAGTTGGAGTTTATAAAATTGTTTCTGATTGGCCGGGGTAGGTTCATGTTTTTTTGGCATCGACTACTGCAATAATCCAAAGGAGAGATAATGATAGTTATTCGTCACGCTTACCAATCACACTGCTGTTGGCTTTGTTTATCGGTACGCTGCTTGAATTAATAATGATGTCAACGTCCTGGAAAGAAAACAAAAGATGATGAAAGATGCCAAAATTCATTGCGCAAATTAGGAAACAAAGTTACAAAATATTTTCGGATAATCATCAAGTATTGTATTTCTCCATCTAGCGGTGAAGTAATAGAGGATTTTTCCTGATAGAGTGATACAACGATAACCTATCATTAATAGTGAAATCTGATAGATTGCCGCTTACCAGACCTTACACCTGATGATCCTGCCAGTAACATACTTCCTGACCTAGGGTGACAACGCTCACTGTGTCTGTGAAGAAGCAGTGTTGTCACCCTAGGTCAGCATTTCTCAACCTTTTTTCAGGCATAGCACCTATTAAAAGTATGCAAAATATCAGGGCACCCAAGGTTAAAATGTAAAAAAACGTGTTCCCCCCCTTCTCCAAAATCAATACCAATTTCTTATCCTAGAAAAGGGTCTGGTATTGATTATAAGGGGAGACCCCAGGTCCCTTTACAATAGAGCCCCCTCCTTTCACTTTAGAAGCCCCTCTCCCCTAACTTTAGTAGCCTCCTTCACATAATTTCCCCCTGCCCTTTTCATATCAGATCCCTG